TTAACAAGTGAGTGCATAGTTACTTTCATCTTACACATAGATATGAAGCATTTTATATAAATTATGTGCTATGTGTGCATATTATTTGAATACTTGCTTTCTATGCTGGATGAACGATTTTATACATGTTTTAAATGATTTAAATTGTATATGTATTTTATATCTACGAATATGTTGGGTAAAACATGGGTAGATGAATGATGAGAGATGAAAGACAATATGAGTAAACATTGGAAGCTATAGACTTAGTGCCTAATAAATAACATTGACAACTATGGACTTAGTGCCTATTAGATAAACACTAGTAGCTATGGACTTAGTGCCTAATGGATAAACGTTGGTAGCTATGGAATTAGTACCTATTAGATAAACGTTGGTAGCTATGTACTTAGTACCTATTAGATAAACACTGGTAGCTATGGATTTAGTACCCGATGAATGAACTTTAGCAGCTATGGAATTAGTACTTTACGAACGAGCATTGGCAGCTATGGACTTAGTGCCTATCGTATAAACCATGGAAGCAATGGACTTCGGATTGAACGAATGTAGGATAAATGATTCTTAGGGTAGATCCTTAAGAATAAAGAAGATATCGGGGATGGGTAATTGGGTTAATTGTTTGATGATTAAACATAATAATTATATTATTGTGGGTTGAAAACCCTCTGTACTCACCAGGTTTCCCAACCTGACCCACTCAGTTTATTTGTATCGCAGGTGTCGATATGAAGTTAAATTACACTGAGAGATTAAGGAGATGTAAATGACTAGTGATAATGAATGTAAGTTATGTTTATGCTTATGTTTTATGTATTGATGATGACATCCCAATGTTTTAAAAATATGAATAAAATACATTTCTTCGAAAATGCTTGATAACGTATTTATCAAGTTTTTTTGGGAACAAATTCTATAAAACTTTTCTTTAAAAGGTTACTCTGAGATTCAAAATAAAGCATAAACAAATCGGTCTTTTTTAGCCGTGAAAATAGGGATGTCACAATGGAGCTTTGGGGTGGCTTAAAATCATCTGAATGGAGAAAGGACTGAATGGACTCGACAAGTTGCATGGTCAACTCGGCGAGTCCGATGAAGATTAGCCTTGAGGGTTTCTGCATGAACTCGGCGAGTCAGCAAGACGACTCGACGAGTCAGTTAGGGTTTTCTCGACTCTTGGATATGCAGGGACTCGACGAGTTGTCTGGAAACTCGATGAGTCAACTGGGGATTTCACGACTTCTCAAGTTCTGGAAGGAATCGACGAGTTAGTGAGCTGCACTCGATGAGTAGGGTAAACATGGACTGTTAACCTTCACCGTTGACTTTGACGTTAACTAAGGGTTGACCAGTTTGACTTCTAGGGGTATTTTGGTAAATTGGAAATTTATGGAATGGATTCATGGTGACTATAGGTGTTGGAGCCCATTGGTTTTGATTCGAGAATTTGAGCTTATTACTTCAGTTCGATGTTTGCAAAGTGAGTTTTCCTTACTATACTCAAGGGTCGAAGGCACCAAGGCCGGCCCTTTGGATTGTTATCCTGATTTGTTATGCTAGTATGATCTGTTAGATTGGTATCCTGGTAGATAGGATGATATATGTTATTGTGATCTATTAGATCGGTATCCTAGTAGATAGGATGATATATGCTATTATGACATGTTAGATCGGTATCGTGGTAGATAGGATGTTATTAAGTTGATATGATCCGTTTAATTGGTTTATCTGTCTATAGACTGTTATGTGATTATTAGTTATATGTGTACATGTTTGATTGGTGGTTGAGGCTTATCTGCTTTGTGCGAAAGCCAATAGACCTGGGCATTCCAACCCTATGATTGTGGGCCATGAGTATTCCATCCCGGTGATGATTGGACTCATAGTATGTGGGCATTCCAACCTGTTGGTTGTGGGTCTGGGGTATTCCATCCCGAGGATGATTGGACTCATAGTATGTTGGCATTCCAACCGGATGGTTGAGGGCCTGGGGTATTCCAACCCGATGGTTGACTGGACCCATAGTATGATGTTTGTGATTATATGCATATTGTTGTATCTATGAGTATTTTGGGGGAACTCACTAAGCTTTGGGTTTATAGTTTCAGTTTTGTTTCATGTACATCGGGTGATCGCGGGAAGGCAAAGGCGTGATCGTACAGCTCCTCACATTTATGATTTTGTTTCTGGGATACTCTGATATTATACTATTTTTGAAAACAAGTTTGTAATGTTCAATGGTTTTGAAATGTCTTAAAAAGTTTAAATTTTGCATGATTTTTATGGATATTACAGCCATGTTTGTGCCTCCAACACGCCGTGTCAAATCCTCAAAAGGTGATTCGTTCCCAAAATTGTTTACTCAAAATTCCAGGTGTTACATGAAACCGAATTGTTTTTACTTTGTTTTGTCGTATTTCTTTAACCGTATTTCATTTTAGGTTTTGAATTAGTTGTTTTCAAAACCCTCCCCATATATTTACTTTTTATGTATTTGAATAAAAACTTGACTATTTTGGTTTATTTATTCATTAAATCCAAGTCTCTCTAAGTCTACCACTATTATTATTATATTTAAATCATATAAATGCAAATATGACTTATTGTTTGATGGTTTGACTCCCATTAAATATAAAAGAAATTACCAACTTGCAATTCCTTTTATATATAAATTTCCAAGAGATTGTGTGCTTTGAATTTTTTTATAAGATGAACATGTAAAATGATGTTATCTTTCTTATTTGGGATTGTTTTTGGATGAAAAAATAACCGAAAAATTGATGACGACCGAAAAAAAGATTAAAATGACTATATATGTATAATGACTAGTTTGATGATTAATTGTATACAAAGTTTTAGTTTAGTGGTGTTTAATTTTTGAACAAAAAAATATGAGATTAGTGGTGTTATTTGAACAAATACATTGGCTAAACTTGCAATATTTGATCAAAATGGTATATCTTTTAAAAAAATATATGATTTCAATAAATCGTGTAAAAAATATAAATAAAAAAAACGACCAAATATATATTAATAATGAACAGTGTAATGATTATCTAACAAAATCATTTCCCCTTTATTAATTATCGTTACCTGTTTCAAATATAACTTTTTTTAGATAAGAATTTCAATAAAAACTTACTATAAATTTTTTTATTAAAATTTTGATCATCAAGATAAATAAGAATTTCAATAAAAAAGAAAAGTCAAGAACCATTAATCAATTCAAAATAATGGATTATTCAAGAAGAAAATTAGGCTTGTTGAAATGACCGAACCCAAATAAACCGATCGATTCTTTTTGAACTCGGATAAAATTGGGCTTTGGGTTTGGAAATTAAGATAGTTGATTATGTGGAAGTTAATTTGGGTATGAGTATTCATCTAGAATTTAAGTATTCTTGAATATCATATTTTTCTAAACAGGTAATTCACATCGGTTGATACCAATATTGTAAACACCGTTCTAGACGATAGATAATCAACGCCTAGACTTTAGGCGGTCTCCAACCAATGTGTACTAGTCAGCTAGGTCCTAATTGGTCATAATTGATTAAAATGGCTACTTTTGCATCGACTCTCTCTCTCGTTCTCCAAACCTTGGGTCATTGATTCTACCCCTACAAATTTGTGGACAAAATTATAATGTATAAATCATTAAAATAGTCAATAAATGTAAAAAAAAAAAAAGAAAGTTAAGGAATCAACAAAAACTAAGAAATTACAAAAACTAAAGAAAAAGGCTTGGTTTCTTCTCATTGTGTCTCTTCATCTGTACTATTTTTCACGTAATCGGCAACCGCTTCTTGTTTCTATTTACGTCAACATTGTAAACAACATTGTCAGTTATAGCCATTAATGATTCTTGACTTAAATGCTTAAACATTAGACTGACTTTTTATGGTTATTTACTAATTTTGTTAGGATATTAATAGTATTTTTTTTATTAAATTATTTTTTTAATAATTTAAGGTTCATCAATCATTTGACTCCGGGTGATCAACTAGCTACCGCTGAACGTTTTTACGAGTAGCAGACTTTGGTTAATACTATTAATAGTTCTAGGCAGTAGTCCACAATTCCATGCTTCTCTTTCTGTGTCTTTTATCTTTCGTATGAGTTTTAACTATTCTCGAAAAAAAATCCCTTCGACCATTCTTTCTCTTCCGACAAAAGACACATGGACGTTCTTGACCTTTAATTATTTTCTTCGTGGACCATGTCATGCATAATACACGTATGTACTAAAGTACTAAATCATACACATTTAATTCTTTTCTTTTATGCATCATGTCTCTTTTATTTGCGTTGAAGGTTTAGGACAAAAAGAGATTATATCTTTTCCATGTCTTTGATTCACATGCTTTGTTCCACATGAAAAGAGAAAGGTCTTTTTTTAATTCATATATTTGTTTATATAACCGACATAACCCAAAACCTAACCATCCAAACTATAATTCGGTTCGGGTATCGTTTATATTTTCAAAAATAAATTACTCAATTAACCTGATCCAAACACAACCCAAAACCCATAAAAATACATGATGAACAACCTTAAATAGTCAACAGAGCAATCTTAGAGACTTTTAACCATATAGTAGTCTTAGTGTCTTACATGTACAAAGCAATATTAGAGTTTTTGGAACTGTAGCACAACGGAGTTTGATGACTTTGCATATTTAGTCACTCATGTATGTTTTATGTTCAATTAGTCCTTAACATTAGGAAATACCAGCTAATTACACCATTGGGAACTCGGTAAAGGGGACAACTGGTTGTCTTTCTTACGTGACATTAAAATAAATAAGATATTTACCTTACCTTATCCACGTAAGAAATCGAAGTCAAAATAGTCACATTTATTCATACACATCGGTACACTCCTTCGTTCTTCATTTTTCTCATTTATCAGTGCCCAAGAACAAAAAAAACTAGGGTTCCACACGTTTTCCTTCGATCAAACTCAGTGATCAGGCAACTAACTGATAATATCAACCTCGATGCGAAACCCTGATGGACTCTACCCTGTAGTGGAGCTCAACTTCAAATGTGTTTTTCTTCGAGATCCTTTCTTGTATAACCATGGTATCAAATTCACATTTTAAGATCATGATTTTTCTGGAATGACATACTCTGAATGTATCACCTTTCTCGAACGGTTCATGCAAGAAAGTATCAATAAGCTATACTACTGTGAGCTAGGTAAGCCCTTATTATCTGGGATAACTGCTATTCGTAACGATGGGGATTATGCTACATTTATCTTTAATGCTTTTGGAGCCGATGGTTTTATTTCCCTATATGTGGACCATGATGGTTAAGGAATAAAGGATTGGGTTGGCTCTGAGATAGAAGAAGAAGAAGAAGAAGAAGAAGAAGAAGAAGAATATATTGACGATTCATGCATTGATGGTGGTGAAAATGAAAACGAAATTGATAATCTTAAAGATGTCGATGTGGAATTTAATGTGGATATAGTCACTATAAATAGAACACAGGGTGATGAGTTTCTGAATAAATTATGTTCTGAAGAGGAAGAGGGAAATGAAAACAACACAGATGATGATGAGAATGAAGAGGAGGAAAATGTAACTTAACAACATTTGATTTTTAATGAGTCAACTCCATGGAAAAAACAATTCCCTATATTTGGTATGAGAATCAAAGATCCAGCTCAAGTAAAATCTATGTTATGCAACTATGCTGTTGCCAATGGGTACCAACTTTGCTTTGAGAAAAATGATAGAAAAAAGATTGTTGGTTAAGTGTTGTAAGGGTGAGTGCATATTTAGGTTGTGGGCATCTTGGATGAGTGATGAGGTAAGCTTCCAAATCAAGTCTTTAAAGTCAGATCACAAATGTGCAAGAAACTAAAAGTTAGGCTCAATGGTTACTTATGTTTGGATAAGAAATCATTATACAAGAGAGTTCTTACATAGACAAAATATGAGTGTAAGAAAGCTTAGAACAACTATGTGATAGAAGTTTGGTATTCATGTAAGTGTTGGTCAATGCAGGAGAGCTGAGAAATATGCACTGCAACTTGTAAATGCTACCCTTTTTAAACATTATACAAAGTTATAAATATGTAGAAGAGATTAGTAGATTTAATCTTGGGAGCACTATGAAGCTTGATGTGAATTGTATGCCAGATGGAAAGATCTACTTTAGTAAGTTCTATGTTTGCTTTGATGCATTGAAGAAGGGGTGGAAGGAAGGATGCATGAAGATAATAGGTTTAGATGGTTGTTTTCTTAAAGTGATATGTAAAGGGGAGTTGTTATGTGCTGTTGGAAGGGACACAAGCAATGGAATTTATCCCATTGCATGGGTAGTAGTGTGTGTGGAGAATAAGGAAAACTAGAGGTGGTTTTTGGATCTACCCATTGATGACTAGGAACTTAATCTAGGATATAGGTATAATGTCATATCTGATCAACACAAGGTAATTTAATTCTTTATCCTTCATTTCCAATTCTAGTTGCATAATTATTTGATATACTTTACAATTTTAATAGGGCCTGGTTGAGGTTGTCAAATAGCTCCTTCTTTATGTAGAGCATAGGCAGTGTGCTAAGCATTTTAGCCAAAATTGAGAAAAAAAGGTATAATGGTGCCTAATATGAAACCATATTTTGGAAGGCTTGTAAAGCAAAAACTAAGGTAGATTTTAAGATTGCCATGAAAGAACTTGAAGATCTAAACCCAAGTGCTCATAAGTATCTGGTGGACAAAGACCCCAAAACATGGTCAAGAGCTTACTATGAAACTGGTAAATGTTGTGATGTTGTGGAGAACGGAATATATGAAAGTTTCAATGTTGTTATTGTTGATGATAGGAAGAAGCCAATTATCACCATGTTAGAGGAGTTGAAGTTCTATATGATAGACAGAGTGTTCAACATGAAAGCCAAGGGCAAAGGATGAGACAATCAAATTTTCCGAACAATTAGAGAGTTATTGAATGATGTTAAGAAATTCCAGAGACATTACAAAGTATTACCAAGTGGGTAAAATCAGTTTGAAGTAAGAGGAACTAGGGATGGTTATGAGGTAGATCTTGAAAGGAAAACTTGCTCATGCAAGCTATGGCAACTCAATGGAATTGGTTGTGTTCATTCTGTTGCAAGAATTAGTTTTTATGAATAGGGATGTGAAGTCTTATGTTGATAAAATGTTTATTAGCATTAATTACATGAAAGCATACAAGTATAGGTTAGCACTTATGAATGGAAGTAAGTTGTGACCAATATCTTTTTACACATCACCTTTACCTCCCGTTCATAGAAAAATGCATGGGAGACCTATAACTATAATTGGTATGCACTTTATTTGAATGTAGCATGATCCTTTGGGTTACCTTCACCATAGCAATTGGACATGATGAGTTTTGGAGAAAGAGGTTAATTAATGGTTTATTAATATATTATAAGAAAAATATATTAATTGATAAATCGTATTATTTAATTAGTATTAATCAGAAATTAATTTCAAATTATTTTTGGGATTAAAAGGAACTGATTAAATGTAAGTGGACTCGTTTTGTAAATCATTGATAGTTGTAAAATGGGCTATTGGATCACCTTGGAAGGGTTGGACAAAATATATGGGAAGCCCATGGAAGATTTCATCCAAGGGGGCTTTCTGGAAGGTTTCCATGGACTGATTAAGGCTTAAGCAATCAGTATAGGGTTTCCACCTAAAACCCTAGCAGCCACAAGTATATAAAGACCCCTTAGCCTCTAGAAATCGACCACTTGAATCCTAAGAGAAATCCTAGCCGATTTCTATTTCGTTCTACCTTATTCTTTGTTTGTGGTGTTTGTGACTCCATTAGAGGTGTAACGCTTGGGGCACTAGGCTTTCGAAGGTCGACGAATTGAAGAGGGAATACTTGTTACTACTAGCTAACAAGAAAGGTATTCTTCTAAACCATAATATGTACATATTTCAATTTTATATAGTAGATCTAGGGTTCTTGCTTTGGAAAATTAATTTGCATGTATACTTGAGAAAAACCTAGATCCAAAGCAAATAGGTTGCATGTGCACATAGGAATATAGATATGCTCAAAACCCATCAGTTGTATCAGAGCCTAGGATGTTTTTCTGTTATCTTTGATGCAATTGTAATTTGTTCAAAGCTAGAAGAAAATAGATTTCACAATCTGTCTGATGAACTCGAAGAATTAAAAAATGAACTCGACGAGTTGGGTGAACTCGACGAGTCCAAGCCCTAACTCGACGAGTTGACTCGTCAGACAACTGATTTTTTGATTTCCTTATCTTGTTTGGTTTGGGATTATTACCATAAATCATTTTTATCACCATAAATTGAATTTTTTGAATGATAATCTGATTTCCTTACCAAATAAGATGGTTCATGTCAAATTTTAAGATAATATCAAAATTATATTATTAGTTTAATTGTTTAAAATTTGATCTAGAAGTTTTGAAAAGTTTCCAAATTTTCCCTCAAGTTTTGGAATTTAAAATTTAATTAAAAGTTTAATTTTGAAATATTAAATTCTAAAACCCAAGTATTTTAAAACTTTAAAATACAACCCTTATACTATTATAATATTAAAAGATATATATATATATATATATATATATATATATATATATATGTATGTATGTATGTATGTATGTATAAGATGAGTCAGTCTTACCGTTAGTACGCCTCATTCATGAAGCCGATCTTTAAGGGGGTATAAGTAAACTATCAATAAAATGGCGGTTGAATGGGTGTATAGTCTCATCCACCGCTTCCTTGATTGGTGGAGGGTCGTTAGCCAAACGAGTAGGGTAGGATAGTAATTCATCATTAATAAGTATAATGATAAACAAAAAGTAACTAAATGCTTTTATAAATTCCCAATAATAGTTACTTTAAGAAAAATGTGAAAATGATGCTAGTCCATGAAATTGCACTTTGCACCTTTCCAAGTCATTAGTGGAGCGTGTGTGGTTAACCGGCACACTAACTTGGACTAATAAGTGTGGCAAATGGTAGCTTGAGAATTACCATAGATCAATGGAGTGTGTGTGGTTAATTGGCTCATTGATTAGGTGGTAAATGACATTGAGAGTACCAAGCTAATTTGCATAGTTATTCACACCTTGTTTGTGATCCTCGGTATCCCAGTTACAAACTTGAAGGGCATAATCGAGATTAAACATGTCATTGAAAAGTTCAATGAATCTCAAAAGAATCTAGAAATTTCATTTCCTTTAAAACCAAGTCCTTCATTTCGTTTTTTGTGGTGGAATTGGTAAATCGTCATTTACCTACCTTCAAATAATTTACAATTGGATTACGGCATCCCTTTTCCGAATTGTGAATTATTGTGTTGGGTCCTAGCTTTAATATTTCATTTGGTTGTTATATTAGGGATTCTCTATCTAATCAAAACTTTGTCCTTTTCTTTTTCAGACGTCTGGCTCAAACAACGCTTCTGGCTTGAACTCCAACTCCTCAAGCTCCTTTACTCTTATGAACATTTATGCAAAGATCACCTTTGATGGATCCAATTTCAATGATTGGATTTGCAACATTTGAATGGCCTTGCGATATGAAGAAAAAGAATATGTTCTCGACAAGCAACTGAACGAGATCGATGAAACCAAAGATACTCATAAACAAATAGTTGAGTATAGGTCTCACGAAAAGGACGTGACAAAGGTGTCGTGTATTATGGTGGCCACTATGACTCCTGAGTTGCAGCGGTTCTACGAGGAATACTGGCCTTACGAGATGTGCCAAGACTTGATGGAATAGTAGTATCAAAGTGCGCGTCAAGAAAGGTACGAGATTGTCGCCTCGCTGATAACAACCAAGATGAAAGATGGAGAGACGATCACGAGCCACTTGCAAAGAATGCAAAGGTACATGGATCGTTTGCTCAAATTGAATGTCAACTTTGATGAAGAGTTGGAAATTGATATAATCCTACACTATTTACCTCCTTGTTATGATCAGTTCAAGATGACTTATCATATGAACAAGGAGGAAGTCACTTTGAGCAAACTTCAAGGTTTGTTGAGAACTGCTGAAACTGGATTGAAAGGAAAAAGTCTCGAGTCCACTCCTACTGCTGCTGCCCCAGTCCTTGCTATTGGACATGGAAAAGGGAAAAAGAGGAAAGTTCCCTCTAAGAATCACAAAGGAAAGTCTCATGATGGATCTTCTTCTAATGGATCCAATGGTAAAACCGTTTCTACCACTCCCTCTTCCAATCCTAAAGATGCAACGTGCTTCTACTGTCACGAGAAGGGGAATTGGAAACGAAGCTTCCCGAAATACTTGTAGGACATTGAGGATGGGAAGATAAAACCCACCTTCACAGGTATTATTACTATTCTATCTAATAACTCATCACATGCTAGTTCTTGGGTCCTTGATATAGAATGCGGTTTTCACATTTGTTCTGATTTGCAGGGCTAAGAAGAAGTAGGGATGTGGAGCACAGGAAGATGAACCTGCTAATGGGGAATAGGAAATCATCGTCTGTCACCAAGATCGAGATTTACTCTTTAGTGCTTAGTAGTATGTTAGGATTAGACTTGAATGATTGTTGCTACTCGTTAGAGATGACAAGGAATATTTTTTATTTTCATGGTTTGTATAAACAAGGTTTTAGATTTTCATTTAATAATGAAGTTGGTTCTATTAATGCTTTCTATAATGGTGTATTTTTAAAAATTTTGAAGCATTTCCTTGTAATGGTGTATATGAAACTGTCTTGGTTGTAGATAACTTAGGAAATAATATTTTGCATATCGATTCGTCTAATGGTTTAGACAAGCCATGCTTGTGGCATTGTCATCTTAGACATGTCAACAAGAAGCGCATAGCCCAACTCCAAAAGGATGGAGTCTTCGAGTCATTTGACCTAAAGTCAGATGACACGTGAAAATCTTGTTTACTTGGAAAGATAACTAAATCACCTTTCACTGGTACTTGTGAAAGAGGTGAGGGATTGTTGGATCTCATACACATGGATGTCTATGGGCTCTTCAGATCCACCACAAGGGATGCAAACCACTTCTATGTGACTTTTACCAATGATTATACCAGATATGGATATATCTACTTAATCAAGCACAAGTCGGAAACCTTTGAAAAGTTCAAAGAGTTTAAACAAGAATTGGAGAATCAATTGTGCAGGAAGATAAAGATGCCCATATCCGATAGGGGTGGTGAGTATCTTACTATCGAGTTCCATGACTATCTTAAGGAATGTGGAATTATTTCACAATTGACGCCGCCTACACCGTAGCTCAATGGTGTGGCTGAGAGGCGTAATCGAACCTTGATGGACATCATTCACTCCATGATGAGTCGAGCTTCGTTACCTATCTGATTTTGGGGGTGTGCCTTAGAGACTGCCGACCATATCCTTAATCTAGTCCTAACTAAGAAGGTTTCCAAAACACATCACGAGATATGGACATGGAAGGTTCCCTTGTTGGCGCATATCAAGGTTTGGGGTTGTGAAGCTTTCGTAAGACGAGAGACTCACAGAAAGCTTGAACCTCGAAGTGAGCGGTGTATTTTCATCGGCTACCCACAAAAATCTTTTGGATATCTTTTCTACAGACCTAGTGATAATGTGGTCTTCGTAGCAAGGAGATGGTTTTTCTACAAAAGAGAAATCATATGACAAGAGGACAGTGGGAGGCAAATTGATTTTGAAGGCTTCAAAAGTCAAGGGATGAAGGAACGTCTAACACTAGCGCTCACCCTGAGGAAAAGATTCATGTTGAACCGATTGACGAGTCATTACCTCTAAGACGTTCCTCTTGATTTAGGATGGAACCAAAGTTTTATGGTTTTCATATTGCTACGGAAGGTGATACGTTTATTAGTGATAGTACACCGGTAAATTGGGATGAGCCTACTAACTAAAAGGAAGCCATGGCGGG